TTCTCGTCTCTTTTGTTTTTATTTTTCAGTTCCTTTGGCGAGAGTTTATCTCTCTCTTCTTTATTCTCTTTATCATCTTTGCTCAATTCTTTATCTAAGTCTGGATTTCTTAAAACCTGCAAAAATTAAAAACTGTATATCTATTCTATTACTCTATGCTGTTATTTTAATGTATTAGATAAGCATTTCGATCTGATGTTAAGAAATTAAAAATGCCCGTTTTTAACTTCTTAACATTGTTTTAATGTAAAGAATTTTATTTCATTCTAATTATTTCGATCTAATTTTTGTGTCAATGTTCACTAAACGGCTTGTTGTTCCAAAACTCAAGTAACAAAGAAGGAATAGTCAGCATTTACCCAAAAATTAAGCTGCAATATTAATCTGATTCGATCACTTTCAATAAACTTACTGCCTTTTACACACTTTTTATCGTTTTGCATGTCATATTTCTTCATTATAGTGTTTGCGGATTCGTCTTACAACGAAATATAGAGCACAATTACCAAATACATAAAGAATACGTTTTTAAAAAAATTCTTTTCAAAAATTAGGTACAGAAAGAATTACAAATTGACAATGTATGAAATTACATAAAGTTTCGAAAAAATCGTAAATATAAAATTAATTGTGACAAATATACAATAAACGTTCCTTTCTCGAGAACCATCACAAAACCAGCTCGTCAAATGTCAGCTTCGATTTTTCTGCATGTTCTCACGATACAGCAGTAGATCAATTCACAAAGTTAAATCCTGAGCCCATTCTTTTTACACGCCACTTTGAAGTAGTACACAATTCTTTCAGCGTAAATATTGTTACCACAGCTTTTTCGTAGGTCAAAATCAGGAAGAAAATCGCGGCTACTAGCGTAAATGAAAAGAATCTCATATATATTCTAAGGTATTATAATTTAAATGGTGAAAAAAGTATAATGAGTTTTTTCTTTTGTCAACGAAGAATTTTTTCTTACATGATCGCCTTTGTAGAAATATAAATAAGTTTTGCGATTAACTTGATTACTGCCAATTAAACATTGTTTCTTGACTTCAAACATGCTTCTAATTGGTTTTGTTTTTCTAATGTGCTCGTAAAACCTTTCATGAGTCTTATACAGTTTTCCTTGCGCTCGTTTGTATAGAAATCTATTGAAAATTTCTTCTCCGTATTTATATGTACTTGCGTTTTCGAAAAAGCATTGAAAAAACGCGTCTTCAAATTTGACATTTGTGCGATGAAGTGTGGGAGAGTTGGGTGATTGTTCATCTTCCGCATTATATATATGCTGCAGATGAAAATGTATGGTATCAGCAAATACAGTAAAGAATGAAAAGTGCAATATGAAACTGTCTTGACCAAATTGGATAATTAATTACAAGCAAAATAATTATGTTATTCCGTACTGTATTTGTTGCCATTTGGTATATCAATTCGATTATTCATTCTACCTTAGAAATAACAGGATCGTCTTTGGTTCTCCGTCTTTCTATATCTCTGCGTCGTCTCTCCTCACGCTTCTCATCCCTAAGACGTTGTTTCTCTTGCTTACGAATTTTCAAGTACTCGAGCAATGGGGTCGTAGTAATTTTCTTCACCGTATCTATACAATATAATCATTATAATTTTAAAACACTTATTTATATGTATATACATAATACATATATATATCTACATGATAAGAAGTAATGACTCGTATTTGCAAAATAATATAAAAAATATAAATAAGTACAAAATGAGCGAATAGGGTGTATGTTAAAAAAAATTATTTTAACACACATGAAGTATTTTACCATCAAATTAACAAGAATGTTTTGACTTACTTAATAATACAATCAAATAAAAATAATCAAAACAAATTTTTGCGCTGATGCGAATTTGTAGTATGGTATTTGAAGGTTTAAATGAAATATAAATATGAAAGTAACAGTCGTAAGTCAAAAACGTCCCGTTTCAACTCAATATTCATGTTGAAATAAATTTTTTAAATGTATACCCTATTTGTTTGTGTTTTGGGTTATTATTCTTTATGTTATATATATATATATATACATATATACATTTCATTACTTGAACAAGCAATATACATAAAACGAAAAATACTCACTATCTGGTGGTTGATAAGAATACTCAGTTTTCGATTGGGCTACACTTGAATCAATTTCTTGATTCTTTAAATTCTCTAAGAAGCTTATATAATACGAGTCACTTTCAATGGTACCGCATTTGACATCCTTTTTTTTGCCCACCCGTTTCTTTGGTAATCTTTGAAAAGGCGCAAATTCCACTACTGCAGTATATTCCACCCCTTTAGAATCTAAGAAGACATAGTTGTCAAACTTCTCCCGAAACATGAAGATGTCTTGTTGCTCCATGAAATTAATATAAGCACGAGAAAATGAGAACTGGCCAAGGGACATGTCTGCCTTCACAAAGTACAAATAATCGTGTACCGGCAGTGGAGAGACTTGCTCTAAGAATTGATCCTGAGTCATTGATGGAGGCAGTCTTCTGATCACCACCTAATTCCAGTCAACAATATGACACGTACACTAATTACTATATATATATAACAGTTAATATATTACATGTTTTTTAAAATTAGAGAGAATTTCAGCTGATTGCTTTTTGTTAAAAAAAAATTGGAGTTTTCAACCAAAACTGAGAAGTGACAACCTAAGGTATACCCTTCCTAAATTTTAGTAAGTAGAAACAAATTATGAAAATCATTTTTACAATAAAACATTAAGCTTATTGTCCCATATACTCAACATTATATATAAAAATTTTACTGAAGATCTTTGAAGGCTGGCAAGGATGTATCCACGATTTCAGTCAGAGGGAGCAAAAATTTATATTTTCATACAAAATTTATTAAAATACTTAATTAGCCAGCCTTCAAAGATCTTCAGTAAAATTTTTACAAATAATGTTGAATGGAACAATAAGCCTAATGTTTCATTGTAAAAATGATTTTCATAATTTGTTTATACTTGCTAAAATTTAGGAAGGGTACAAGTGCCTCCTGTCCCACCTCTTCCCCCTCTTGACAACACTCATGGGTACATATGTTAATTAAAGAATTAGATTATGGAAATCTTAAAATGTTAGATCTTGGTTTGAAGAATGCTTATTAAGTACATATACAGTAATTTTTGCTTAAATCTGAAATCACTCTACATATTCACAAGATTTCGTTTAAATTAATAAAATCCGGCCGGTTCTATTCCCTTGTCATTATTTAGCATAACCTATCATGTTTCGTACTGTTGTTTCAAAATATTGGAGAAGCCAATAAAAGATTGCCTGTTGTGGAGTAAAAAGTTCGTATCTATTATGTTGATTCAGACAAACCTTCGTTATGGGACGACATTTTTCTTTTTTGTTATCTTTGGCTTTTCCAACATCCGATGAATTGGTCTGCGTGTCATTCTGCACGGAACAGCTGTCGTTCTGTGCAGTACTCTCGGATTGTTGCGCTTCCTCGGTCATTCTGACTCACAACACACGTTTGCGATCACTTTCCAAGATTCAAGGAACTTCCGTTTGCCATACGATTCGTACCGGTCCGAAATATATAATCGTACAATTTTGCCCTCTCGAAAATCAAACGAAAGAGTTCTCTTTGTTTTACGCGATTATCACGAACGTGGACATCTTGGCTGATCTGGCTGATGTTGGGATTATTGGTTCGATCCGCTCGATCCTGCACAAAAGAAAAGACTGACAGCATTAAGTTTGTTCTTTATTTCTGCACTGTCTGAACTGTATGCACACTAGAGTCCTAATGCTGGATTCACCCTGCATCCGATGTGCGGAGTACGACGCTCTGCAACCAATCAGAAACCAGAATTCCGATAGATTTTGCTTCGTATCATCGGAATTCTGTTTTCTGATTGGCTGCAGAGCGTCATACGACATAAATCGGATGCAGGGTGAATCCAGCATAAGGCCAGAATCAGACTACGCATTGAAGAATGAGATTGAAAGATTGAAGTTTGACCAATCAGAACAAAAGGAACCAAAATTTCTTTGTCCTCATTGGTGAAATTTCTGGTTTGTTATGTATTAAGGCCTGAATATCAATCATGAAACTTTTTTCCTAGAATGTAGAGTCCTAGGGCTCTATCCTTCAAAAGAAACGTATACGAAAATCTAGGGAAATGCTACAGTATACATTACGTAATCAACTAATCAGAATCTTTCCTTTCCTCCCATTCCATGAAAAAGAAGAATTTTTATTGGTTGATTCCTTTATGCATTATGCGTTATGCAAGAGTCTGTGCTGCGGCCCATAAGGGTATATCCACGCAACTTGCATAGCTGCATAAACGTACAAAGAAAATTATCCAATCGCATTTCTCCTATAAAGACGCACGTAAAATGTGATTTGATAATTATGCGTTAAGGTAAATTTTCACGAGCTGCTCTAACCGGTTATTTTAGCGACAAAAAGGATCACGTGATCAAAATGGACATTTGATATTCGTCAATTTTGACCACGTGATTCTTTTTGTCGCTGAAACCTTTAAGGTAAATTTTCACGAGCTGCTCAAACCAGCTGTTTCGTCTTGGTATTCGTCAATTTTGATCATTGGCCTGTTTTGACGCTGAAAATGAGCGTCAGCGTGAAAAGGCACCTTTATGCAAGAGTGTGTGCTGCGGCTATTAGGCTCAAGTGCAGGAGCAAAAGAGAAAAAAAGCAATGCGTTGTCGTCGACGATTCGCGATTCCGCCAGGTCACAGTAGAGTTGCGCGAGTTGTCTCGAGTACCGTGCAAAGACCGTCCGTCCGTCTCATTGGTCGCGTTCAGCAGACTCAACTGTTGTGGAGCGGATCCGTGAGTGCTCGCTGCTATTGGATGATCTAGAAGAATACACCAATAGCAGCGAGCGCTCACGGATCCGCTCCACAACAGTTGAGTCTGCTGAACGCGGCCAATGCTACCAACTTCACGATTGTTCACGATGATGCGTTGACGAGATACATGGCGCGCCGCGAGAGGACGCACCAGTCGCCGTGGAGACCGCCGGAGCGCCGCAGTTTTCGCGCGGGGCGGGTGTTGTCGTTGTCGCGTCGCAACTTTCGCGCGACCACGAGAGAGAAGTTGGAGTTACCGCGGGGGGAAGCTTGTCGTGCACGGAGGACCGCGCGAAAATGCCGCCGAAGAAGCGGGAAAAGGATCTCGATGGGCAGAAGGGACCTCGTATGGACCAGATCCAGGCTGACCACGAGCTCTTTCTGCAGGCCTTCGAAAGTAAGCGAAAAAAAACACACACACACGCACATACACATATCGCGGTCTTTCGCCCCGTGTGGGCCCTTACCTCTTTGCCGCCTATCGGTGGCGCGCGTCGCTCCGTCGCGATAAAAGGTCTCCGACTTCTTCTGCCGGTCACCCCCACACCGATACCTCCTCAGACGACCCCTGCCGCGGAGGGCGCGCGACACCCTCCTTCCCCTCCACCGCCGTTATCTCGTTGCCGCTGTCGCCGTCGCGACCGGACCTAACCCTATCCATCGCAAGTCAACTGGAGCCCCCGCCGCACCGTGGCCAACCGTGGCGAGCGTCGGTTCGCTCTCTCCGTCTCCGCGCCCTCCACCGCATCCAAAACGCGCGGACACCTGTCATCCGTGCCCCGGCTTGGCTATTGCGAAACAGACCGAGCGATTCCCGACGTCGCGATTCCCTCCTCCGAAGTATTCCGGAGGAGAACATCCTTGGACGTACGCTAAATGCCCGCGGAAATGTACGCGAAGAAAAGAAAATGATGACGACTCTTTACGCGATTTAGCGATTTACGGAGAATTTGACTAATTCACAGGCTGCTCGACACGAATTAAATATCTTATTGTAATTTTTTTTCCTTTTAATTTTTCTTCTTTCGGATTTCCGACTTGCTTAGGCACGTCACGATATCATGACTTAATTGGTTCAGTTGAACCAGTAAATAACCTCGGGGATTTAAGGAATTAATACAAAGAATCTTCAATGAATCTCCGAGTATCCAATTTGAAGAACCTAAAATCAGCACGACTAAGCTCAATCAAAATACAATTTCGCAAAGTCTAAATTTTTTTCCTTAATAAAATGCTTACGGCTAAATGTTTCTGTTTTTATGAGCAACGTGAGAAATTTCCGAGCTCGGAACTGTTACCTTTATGAAAATGAAAAAAAATGTGGGATCAGAGAGGTTTAACCTGCTTGCGTCGTAACAAATAGGGTGCAGGCGTCTCAAACAAATTTGAGTAAACCCATTCATCACATCCCATTTTGATACCTGATTGAAGGATCGGTTTCTGCCTTGGTCGGAGCTGCTTTTAAATCCTACGAGATGTATTTTAAACGCGAGAAAACGATTTGCTTTTAAGGCCATCTAGGGAATCCATTCCGTATTAACACATATGGCCGTGAATAAGATTTCATTTCTAACAAAAGCTAATGTAAAAATGTTAAGTTACATATAGCAAGATTAATTTTCTGCAAAATTAAGAAAAAAGATATTATTTCGATATGAGTAAATTATTATATACTTTTAATTATTCTTTATGATTTATATTTTAATCATAGTTGTTAATTATGTAACATGTTTCCTTTTTATTTGTTATTTGAGTTATTTTAACATTTTATCAAAATCCAACGTATAATAAATTTAAAAAGTTAAATAACATATTTAATTCGTTTATATTACAGAAGCTATTTTTAAACATATATAAAAATAGTGCTTATTAGTGTAAAAATTATTGAAGAAAAATTACAAAGAGAAAAATATTATTTATTTAGAATATTTTCTATCATAATAATGAATAAATTTATGTACTGGATTGTAACTTTACATATTATGTAACTTATTTTAACTTATTAATTAATAACTTTAGTTTTTAACTTTACAATATGTAACTTTTATATTTCATTTTTTCAGAACCAACACAGATTTACCGGTTCCTCCGCACAAGAAATCAAATTTCAGTGAGTAAATAATATTTTCTTTTCATCCTCAATTTGCTTATAATTTTAATTTGCATTGCCCTCAAAGCGTTAATTATATTTTGTCCGTTTTTTTTTGTTATACATGTGTATAATTATATAATACATGTGTAATTTTATAAATATGGTGTATCAAAAGTTTCTAAAAAAACGTAATGATATATACGAATGTAAATAACCGTTACGATATGAAGCATTTCATAAAGGTAAGTTAATAAATGTTTCTTTGGGTTGATTATATTGCCTCAATCGTAATTTATACTTTTATACGCTTTTCAAAATTTCTGTATGTAAAATTTATGTAGCATGGTAGGTATAAAATTTTAATTTAAGTTATATTATAAAAATTCAAATTATTTTTGAGGAGCATAAATTATCAATTTTCTCTAGGCAATAGATGTACATTAAAATTTAACGGTTCTTTTTAGCCAATATTTCTATATCGAAACTTAACGTATATGCGGCAACGTATGTCCAGAAGTCACAAGTCACGACGAGGGTTTAAGGTCGATACGATTCTGGATAAATTAACAGCGAAAAAGAAGCATGATAATTTCGGTGTTCGCGGATACATGACTCTTACGTTTTTAGGATTTTATGACAAAAAAGGTAAGTCTCGATTATGCAACTTGTTTCTCTTGTATATATCTGAAAAGCTCTGATTTAAGATTGTGATGTTTGTAGCTGAAATATCGCAGGATCCTGTCAAAGTGGAAACATTGTTGTTGAAAATTTGCCACAAGAAAAGGAAAGATGTTAGCTCACCTGTCATGCAAGTAAGTTTGGTATCTATCAGATTTAAAAGTTATGGTTCAAAATACTGATCTAGTCAGGTTTGGATTGGATCGGCTTTCAATTAAGTTATGGCGTTTGTTTAGGTTTCAGTCGGTACAAGCGAGGTCCCAATCAATCCTTCTGAGAGTCAACCTCCACCGAAGGCATCCACGATTTCCATACCCAATGAATCTTTCTGCTTAAATAATGGTCACATAGCAAAGACTTATATGCTTTTGCTCAGGGTTTACTGCATGTCTAACAATGGCTGCCTTATAACTAACTGTGATTTAGAAGGTAAGGGTGAGAGTCAGCGCAATTAACTCGCAGAATATTACAAGCCGTATCTTGCAGAACCAGCTCAAAAGCGTCGTAAATCGTCAACGGGTATGATAAAGGTCAATGGCGAAGAAGTGAAACAATATGGTTCGGAGCTTACCGTGTACGATAAGCACAATCGATGCCTGTTGACGGACGGCGAGTATGAGTTAGGTTTGCAGGAAGTACAGACCAATGTTAGGTCCAGTCCCAAGAAACACAGCTCTTGGGAAACTGTGGCCGACATCAAAGACTGCGAACCGTTCGACATGTTTAGGCAAGGACCGACGTTAAAGTTTCGGCTCAGTTGGACGACGGAACCGAGCAACGGTCTGGTGGATAGACCGATGCCGATACCTCAGATACCGAGCGGTGACAATAAAGAGAATCGGTCGGCCAATGGTCAGTTCTCTATAGTTATTTCGCAAACAAAACTACTGCAATATATGCACTGAATCACACAAAAACGCCACTTTAAATGTTTAATGTTATCTTTTCAGCTGGTTTTGAACGTTCCTCTTCCGTAAATCACAATAATAATAGCACAAATAATAATAATAATAATAACGCGACACTGCCAACGCCTAGTCCGCTAACGCCCTCGTCGAGAATGAGCATCTCCAACGAGAAGGTGGACACTAATGCTAACGGAACTCAACAGATAGTCTATCAATTTTTGTACAACAATAACAGCCGGCAGCAAACGGAGGCCTGCGAAGACCTACACTGCCCCTGGTGCTCGTTGGATTGCGGCAAATTGTACTCGCTTCTAAAGCACTTGAAATTGTGTCATTCACGATTCACATTCACATACGTGGTAAATACGTATTTTTACAGTATTTATATGTAGTATAATTTGTACATTTACTCACAGTTTATATATATTTCTTTTACACGCTCTTTTATTTCAAGAGTAATTCAACTTAAAAGACTAAATTTTCAAAAATGGAGAGAAACTATTTTTCGCCTTGGTAGAAAATAATTGATTAATCAAATAATAATAATACTACGCGCAGCAAAAAAAAGTATATTTTTAACATGATCATTTTTATTATTTTTGTTTTATAACTCTTTAACTTCCTTTTTTAATTGCAACAATTTTGATAATTTTTTTTATGTTAAATTAGTTTACTTTCGATAAGCAGTGTTGATTCATTCATGATAATAACTTGAAAATTACGTTTTTTTAATTGTGTCACTTTTGAAATAAGGGAGAGGTATATCAGCATCAATGGAAAGCACGCGCGCGCGCGCGCGCGCGCACACACACACACACACACACACACACACACACACACACACACACACACACACACACACACACACACACATATTTTCGGATGTTTCCAGGAAATTATCATTTTTAATGCTACTTTATCAGATATTTTAATAAATATTTATAGATACTTCTTAGGCAATATAGAATCGCAACTTCTAAGCAATCCACAAAATTTTTATGTATTTATATATAGTTAGATTCTATGTTTTTTAAAGGAAATCTAATGGATAGATATAAATAATATTAATATCTCTGTAGGATTTTGCAACTACAATACTTTCCGTTGGTGTCACTGATATATATGATAACCATAGATAACCATAGCGTTTAGAGAGAAACAAGCAATTGATTTGATCGGTTAAAATAAAGAGACTCGTCCTCCATGCTGTGCCAGTAATTGGGTGCAAATATTTTCTTTTCCAGCCAATTCCACAAGGTGCCCGAATTGATGTAGCAATAAACGAATGCTATGATGGTTCGTATGCAGGTAGTCCTCATGAATTAATTTCACAACCGTCTAGTATACCTTTTTCAAGGACAGGACCAACCAGACGTACGAGCGTGACGAATATCCTGGTGTGCCGTCCGAAGAGAACGAAACCAAGTCTGTCCGAGTTTCTGGAACTTGACGAGAATGAGTTTGAAAGTCAAAGGCCTTATATCACCGGCCACAATAGGTAAGCATCATGAGCAGTCACAATAGTTATGGTATAAATAATCTTTTACACTGGACATTATAACCTGGACATGTTCCTTTAGACTGTATCATCATACTGTGACCTGCCTGCCTATATATCCCAAAGAGATGGATATCGATTCGGAGGGTGAGAATGATCCTAAGTGGCTGCAAACAAAGACAATGATGATGATCGATGACTTTACGGATGTGAACGAGGGCGAGAAAGAGTTAATGAAAATGTGGAACCTGCATGTGATGAAGCATGGATATGTGGGAGACTGCCAGATACCACTAGCTTGCCAAATGTTCTTAGAGAATAAGGGGAAGGAGTTGCTCATGAAGAACCTCTATCGCAACTTCGTATTGCATATGTGCAGTCTGTTTGATTTTGGGCTAATCAGTCCGGTGATATTATATCAGACCATACAGAAGTTGCAAGAAATCATGAAGGAGGGCGGTGAAGACGGGGACGTACGTAAGGTGCTGCAAAAATCACACGAGGCTCAAGTGGAGCATTGGAAGGCTACGAGTGCACATACACAATTGGTACATGACGGGTCCAAAGCTGCTGGTATAACGAGTGGTGCTAAGCTCAACTTCGGCAATGACGGTTCCTCGAGCACTTCGTCGAACGCCAGGCGAAAAACGACAACCGCCTCCATGCCATTGGGCTCGCCCAACTCGCAAAACGTCAAGAACGCAATGCATAACAATATGCACAACGTCAGTACGTAAGCGCAGAATTCGTTATCATTGTCGAGGAGCAAGACTGTCATTCACATTAGTTCGATGCAGAATCCCGTTGTCGGTGTATGCATCCCGCCCTTCTAGCATTCTCTGGGGGTCCAATTCTCTCCGACGCGGAGCATCGTAAGCAAGATTGTGCCCAACGGTGTGTCCAATTAGAAAGTACAAGCACGTCATCGAGCAGGCGGTCGAACGATCTATTGGCAAAAGTACAAACTGTAGTGCAAGTGACAAGAAGCAGCAGCGTGACGCGTTCCTGCTGCGCCGGATATTCGATACAAGCCGGCGAGAATGCTAGTACTATCGAATACCACCAGCGAAAATTGGTCCTGGACGTGATACTGGCGACGAACAACAATAGCCGCATCGCCGCATCCGCTAGCCAGAAACCGTCCTCGAACGGAGGTAGCTTCCACTAGCTACTTATCAATAGTAGTAAGATCGATTTCGCACGTTTTTAATGCAAATTGCATCTTCTTTTTTTGTACAGTATTTGTTGCAAGTAATATAGATTATGCAATTGACATTTAAATAAACCGGATAATTATTGTTTTAGCTGTTAGATCGATTTTTGAGATTTAATTTAAAAATTATGCGAATAATTATTACAAATTGAGAAGAGAGATAAATAGATAAAGAGGATATCAGATAAACGATTTTATTCTGCTCGCCTCTGTGTCGATGATACCGATCGCGAACAATAAAACACGATACAAACATGCTAATTTTATCATACTTATTCTTCATTTCTTTTTTTCTAGTCAGTGGCGTTTTTATTAATTATTTCACCTTTTTTAAAGCTTTTATCTTACGCAATATTTCCGATAAGTTCTGGTATATCTGCACAACTGATTTGTAAAATTCATAATGATCCAGAAGCAGCTATTCCAGAATTAATGCAAAATTTTCTCACGCATAATTTCGCATTATAATTGAAAAGAAGAGAACAAATGATGTCAAGTTTTGAATATTAATTTCTAAAGATAACTTTAAATGAATAAAGCATGAAAAAGAATTTCTAGTTCTACATTCTGCTTGCGAGGTAACTCGCCATCATGGAACATCTTTCTATATTTGATAAATTATTCTTTTATATAGCGAAGCGCATACTTTACAAGCGAATTGATCTCGTAGCTGAAATTTATGAACTTTTTATCGCCCTGAATTTAATCATTTTCGGGAATATGCTGAATGGTGAAAAAATGCTACGGTATAAATGGTGTGACTATTTCTGAGATTTCAAGTGTGTGCATATATATGTATATATATATATTATATATATATAATTATATATTTTAGGTATTATGTATATAATAATTATAAATAATTACATAATTGTATATAACAATTATATATACATATATTTATATATGATAATTATGTATATAATACATAATATATATGCACACAGACATACACGTACATAAAAAAGTATAAAAAAAAAATCTGTGAGGCTGTAAATTATACTTTACATTTTCTACATCGAGACGGATCGGTAGAGTGAAAGTGCCTTTTACCAAACCAAGCGCAGGCCTGAATTCGCAGAGCGATGGTCGACGATACTTAAGAAATAATGATAGTTATTCATCGTTATTCCTAAATTTCATAAAATCATCTCAGTTCGATTATAATTAATGAGATTAATCATTCGACTCATTCTTTAGTGATCGTCGTTTTTTCGCGAGCGATTCAGACCTCTAGTATATCATATTAGAAATGTTATGACTTTGCGTGTAACATATACAACTTCTACTGCCGTGGTCGTTCGAAGAAGCGCTTACATTCCTTTATACATATTGTCTTCTTTATATCGTAGGTAGTCTAATGAAATTTTTTAATCTTAGGATATGCCGCCGGAGCATTTAAGTTCAACGGAATTATCGTTCTCTTCGAGCGACTTCCAATTCACTGTCCAATAATATTATCCATGGTAGGTTGTAAATAGGGAATTAAATGACGAAATAAATATGTGGACGTGAGAAATGTAGATTATATAGTCATTTTTATCACACACTCCGAATATCTATGTTTTTTCCTTTTATTAATCCTTAGATTATCGTTTCTTATTCGTTATGTAAAATGATCTAAGGATTAAAAGAATAATTTCGAAATTGCTTAGCTTAAATTAAATCATGTTTAAAAATTGTGCTAAATTTTTACCGTTTGTTTCGTATTATGTATTGACAAACGTACATGTTCATCAAACAACCTTGTTTTAAATATATAATTATTTTTTACAACTTACATTAATTGTGATACTATATTTTGTTAAATATATGTCTATAGAGATCTTGTTCTTAATGTGGCAAGCTCTCTTTCTCTTTAGAATATTGTCATAAATACTTTATGATAATTACGGTAACATATTACGTGTTATCGTAATATATTATTTGCGTATCTAATTGAAAAACTATTCGTTATGTATGTGCAACAGATCTTGTATTGTTCTGTATCTTCATTAAAACCAAATGTTTGACTCTATCATATTTGAAGTAGCGCGGGAAATCTATATTAATGTAATCTACAGACCAATTCATTTTGTACTTTTCGACGCAACGTAAAAATTCTTCGTACATCGGAGCAATGGTATCCAAATCGGCGACAGTGAAAACATATCTTTTCTCGAGAGCAATGTAAATTATCTTTTTCTTTTTCGTATATAGAAGTTTCGTCAATGTGCGGACAAATCCATCCGTGATTTTGTCATCGTATATCACTATAAATAAAAAAAAGAAGTATATAATACAATTATCACGCTTCTTATATATCTATTTTACATTGTTGAAATATACAATTATTAAGTTTACCGTCCGCAGCCAATACAATATTTGCGCTTTGCAATTTCTCCTCCAACTTTTTCGGCCATTCTAAGTTTAAAAAATTTACTTCTTCGATATGAAAACCCGATCTAATGTACGTATAATTCCTCAGAAAATTCCGTTCAATTAGATTTAATATATCACCTACGTTGATATCTGGAATATTTGAACAAATAGGATTGAAATTTTCAACAGACGGGTTTCAACTAGTATTTTCATTACCAGTGCAAATGACTTCTTTAGCTAAGTAACTCGCTACGATGCTGGTCAGACCAACCCCAGATCCTAATTCTAGAATTATTTGATTTCTAAACAAGTCCTGATGCGACAGAATGTAGTCGGCTAACAAGAGAGCGGCTCTCCACACTTGTAAACCGACTAAATTGAGCTCTGTAGATACACTATGCTCTGTAAATACAATTTACTGAATATGTTTATACACACGAGAATACACGATAATTGATTCTGTACCTATTAGAATTACTCCTTCTTTGTCTCTATCTACATCTAGATCATCGTCACTGTCATAATTTAGCGTCTCGGCTGTGGATTCTGTCTCAATCATGTAAGATGGGCATTTAAAAGTGAATTCAGTCACTGCATCTGAAACCAATTGTTGAACGTTAGGACGTGCATTAAGCGTTATTTTTATCATTTAATTATTCGTTAAACATAACTTACTGCCATTGTCAAGCTCCTCAGAGATTTGATCATTTTCTGTGTATATTTCCGATGTTACTTTATGCATCGCCGTCTTAGCAAACAAAAAGATCAATGTTAATCAACTTTTATTTTATTTCTTTTTAAATTGATGATCAGTAGATATTACGTAATTATTGATTATCGTACTACGGATTATTTATATAGGTCATACAATTTCATTATTAATTTATCGATATTTAATAAATATATGTACAGAGTAGATGATATAATAGCTCATTATATTTCACTCGTAACGTACTAATTCGTTTGCAATATAAATATATTAATGATAAAGATTCGGTGAAGCATTACATCGCTCGAGTCGGGGATTAACGCGCGTAAATAAATCAGGAATCGATTTCGTGCTGCGACGCTCACGACACGATAATGAAGCGCGTCGTGACTGCCCAATATTATAGCCTCGTGACTGCATTTATTTCGGGAATTTGTGTCTTAACACGACAATTATATAATCCATAATCTTATACTATCACGTTGCTCTGTATTATTACTGTATTGAGTAATCTACGTTCAATCTCTTCAAAGTTAAATTATACTGCTTAAAAAAATCTTGTTTTGCTCAATTTACAATAATTTTCTGATGGTAAAGTTTTATTGTTCAAAGACGTACAAAAGATACGCATTTTATAGTGACAATAAAATGTATCGATAATAATAAATATTTATACAAGAATAAAATTTTTATCAATTTACATGCGTACATGCCTTTATTACCACATCTGTTGTCAAGGTTTTCAAAAAGATATTTTATTGTATCATAACTTATAAGGAATAACCACCTGATTTTTTATACCTCAACAGCAAGAAAATAAAGCTCATCTATAATACTTTTCATATTTTCCATGTTTTTCTATTGTAATTTTTCTTTGCTGATCGAGAATATATACTTTCCTTTACTTTTTAGAAAATATTGAATAAATCTATACACACATAATGATCTTAAATACTAATGTTACTTATCCTTTCTGCATTTATAATTTTTGTTTTCTCTTCACTAATATATATCTTGTTTTAAATGCAAAAATTTTGTGGATTTGAACTAAATCTATACTAATAATTTGTAGAATGATTAATATGTATTATGTAGTTAATAATAACTTTTGGGATGTAAAAACATCTCAGGTGATTGTCACCCCAGAAAAACTAGATAATTATTTTCAGATCAATCACTTCCATTTAAAGAAAACACAATGAATCTCAACGTATATTCTTGAAAATCACAAAGAGAATCATAAATATAAAAAGAAAAAATACTATACTATTATCAATCGCTTTATTAATCTATTAAAAGAGGCTTAATTATTACACCTTGGAACGCGTTTTGAATGGACAATCGTTGCGCCGCGCGTCGTTTCCTCGACGACGTGATCTCAATCTCCGCCTTCCTCGTGGCATTTTCGTCAGCTGTGCCTGTCATTTTGCCATTTACTTCAACCGTGCGATTGCACGAACGTCAACAGATGTTGTGGTTATGACCTTTTAATTCGATCAAATCGAGATCGGAGTCATTTGAACTTAATCTGTCTGCCTTTATGACGTCTGTAGATCTTGCGGACTTTAAAATCTAGCCCGTTCGTCTCTCCTGACTTCGACTGCATCATCCAGCATTGTTAAATCGTTAAATCGCCAATATCGCTTTACTGTACGGCGCCATTGCGACGCCACGTGATTTTGACAGCCAAGCGCCGTCGATAAAGCTGCAAAAACACTACCGGAGCTTTTTAAAATCATTATCCATTTGTTGAATATACAAATTGCTCAAACAGTATATCTGAATATTAATCAATGCAAGAATAAATAAAGAAAATATAAAAATCGAACCGACCTCCGTCCTATTCGATTGTATCTGTCCAAAATATTATACTTTCGAGCTAATCGTCGAACGGTAATACGTGGCGATGACCGCGACTGATTTCAACCGAGGTCACAAATCGCGGTTTTCTCGCCAAAACAAGACGCGATTTCGTTGCTATTTTAATCTGTCAACGATTATTTGTGTCACTGATTTGCGAGCTTATCGTTTATATCGTCCTTCGCGCGCGTGAGGTCAATCGTACATCTCGAAACGAGATAAAATAAATGACAAAAGTGAGTGAATTTAATGGAATATTTATAATTTGATTGATCACATCTAATGAATTCGCTCGCTTTAGTCATTTTGATCTCAAGGATCTCTACAACGAATGAAATTCGAGGACTTATTTGGGAACTTAAATCTCGCGACCGGCGCGGCAGTGCGCGGCAGTGTGCGGCAGTGGGTAATGCCTGTCGCGGTCGGAGGATGACGCGCGGGCGGCCGCGGATGCCGGGGAGGCAGCCAATCAGCGATCCCCACGATGAGGACGATGCCACGCGTATGAGGCCGCGGAGCCAACGCGAGTCGAGAGCCACAGCTTCTAACCCGCCGACGCAGCGTCGCGCTCGCTCATTCATCGCGCGTTCTCCTCGCGGACGGTGGTGGTCTTCCCGGTCTCTTTCGTCCTCGTCCCCGACGACGTCTTCGTCTCAGCGAGGCAGGTCGCGCTTCGACGCGCAGGAAACGCGAAGAAAAGAGAGAAAGACAGACAAAAGGAAAGAAAGTGAGGTATTCGGATCGTCATGAAACCCGTTGGTGTATTCTGTTTCACGGCACTCTGCCTGGTCGCGACCTCCCTCGCCAAGGTCGAAGTCGAGGATGGAGTCCTCGTGGTTACCAAGGACAACTTCGACAGCGTCATCCAGGACAACGATTACGTGCTCCTCGAGTTCTGTAAGTATATGATATATGTACGTCTCCCGCTGCGCTTCGGTTGTGCGTTCAGAACTTAATTTGTACCGGATGCACTCGGGTATCATTTTCGTTGTTTATCCAAATTCGGTGAAGAAAGATAAGATAATACCCGGGTGAAGTTCCTCTGAACGTAACCCGATCTCCTCGGAGCACGCTCCGAGGGCGAGTCGCGAATTCGCGTACACTCATCGAATTCGTAGGTTCGTACGCCTTGTATCTGTTGCTTTTTCGCGGAGGAGCTGCACTCTCGCGCCTGCACTTTCTGTACTCGCGCTCCGCGACCGGAGATGATAGGTGAGTACCGGAGGGCAAAGGAAGAGTCAAGGTTGACGGGAACGTCGAGGAAGATGAATCCACGTCGGGAATATTGAGATACGTCTACCGTGCGATTTGCCGACTCGCTCGCAGGTTCGCCGGTTCTGCCAGATGCGAACCCCGTACACGTCATCACTCGGGCATCCTCGAGGACGGTGATGGGGGACCGGTTAGCGACACGCGACTTTTTAGCGATGATCGTCCCTCGGTCGAAATACTTCGTCTTCTTCTTCTTCTAAACTCCTTTTGGAGTTCCGAAGATTCTGTCAGTTTTTTTTCGCGATCTCTTTCTCCCCTCCTTTCTGCTTTTCTCAGCGTTTGATGAGGAAATCTGTGGAAATCGGTCACAAAGAGAAAAAAAAAATTGCAAAAAATGCCCCGAGAAGATCCATATTTGGACGACGTGCGTCTTCGAGACGGTCGTCTATATTTATTTATCGATATTTATTCATCGCGTCCAGCGTCCTTCGGTCGCCCCCTCGCAGCCTCCGTTTCTAACATTTTTCTCCCCGTTGATCTTTCTGTACCTCCTCTCTCTCTCTCTCTCTCACTCTCTCTCTCTCATTCCAGTCGAGAGCTCGAGTGCAGGAAGTGCAGCTGTAAAGACGGTTCTTACTTCTTGGCTTTTTTTTTACCGTTATACACGGTCGTATGCGCCTTGCAAATCGTCTGACGATTATGAGACCGAGTGTAACGTCACGTTATGATAATGGTGTTGATGACGAGGACAATGACGGCTGTAACGGGCATATTCTATATTTATACGGACGCAGCATTCAAAAATGATACAAATTCGACGCATTAACGGAAAGAATTAATCGCTTTCTTTTATCGGAATCGAAGTTCGATACGCTGATTATTACAATTTTAGATCGCTATTTACCACTTTGTCGACCTCAAAACTTAAACGACCATATGGTATCCTAATAATTCGATGTTAACGAGTAAATGTTTAGAATATTTCGAGAATACGATTTATATTTTTGAAATAAAGCAACATTAGACGATTCTCTGATATTTTTCTTTTTTTTTGATATTTTATTTTTTAGAACTGAACAGTTTTGATTTCTTCAAAATCCATGAATCTTAATGTATCTTACTCTCCGATATAAAGCTAGAATGATTTTTAGATCTAACTTATCGATCATGAGAAAATGTAAATTTAAAAAATTAAATTTTGTAATATTGAAATAGAAATTGCAATAGGATGATTATATATATCTTATATGCCAACAAGTACTTCCACAAGTTGCAATAAACCACACTTATATTTGTAAGATTCACGTAAAAGTATTAATGGGCACCAAGATTTTGACTGGGTATGGCCTTCTTCGCTTATTCTCAGTCAGCAAAATATTTGCAATTTGCTGCTAAATTTGATCAAAATATTTAGTAAAAAAATTGGCATTAACTATATCCATATTAAGCTTGTATATTCATATTAAGTTTTGCTGACAAAACTTACTGATATAACTTGAGAACAAATTATCAACATAAACCGAGCAAAACTTTAGTTAATTTTGGTTTTGATCAGTTTTTTAATTTGTTATCACTGATAATTTATCAGATTGTCAGTAAGCTTTGTATAATTTTGCTTTCAATTTATTGTCAATATTTTGTCAGCGAATTTTATTGTATATTTGTTGCCAATTTCATAAAATATAACGAAATTCGTATTAAATTTGGTGCCTTTTTGTCGACAAAATTTGTAGTAAGCGTTTGATAACATTTTTTGTTCAACATACGAGGCCAATTAGATTTGTGTTAAACGTTTAGGTAATTATTTATATATAATTGTATAAATTACATGTAATTTAGCTAAGGTATATTTATCGAGGTACACGATGTTACCATTGTTGGATTCTTTAAGGCTAAGGTATAATTACAATCATCCTTTCTTATGTTCCTTGTGTGTTTTCTACTTTTATCTACTAATAATACACATTTCACATTTTAAACTATTATTACCGTATAACGACTTTATTATATAATCAGGAATACTAAAAAATAATCACACAGCTTACCTATTTATATACGTATGTAATATGTATATTTCTTGGTCGTAGATGCCCCGTGGTGTGGACACTGCAAAGCATTGGCACCCGAGTATGCTAAGGCGGCAAAGAAATTAGAGGAAACTAACTCACCAATCAAATTGGGCAAAATAGATGCGACAGTTGAATCGGCACTCACTGAGAAACACTTAGTGAGAGGATATCCCACTCTCAAGTTTTACCGTAAAGGAATTCAGATCGACTACACCGGTGGCCGTCAGGCTGACGAAATTGTGAACTGGCTGCTCAAGAAGACTGGTCCTCCTGCCAAAGATCTGCCCACGGTTGACGAAGCTAAAGCATTTATCGAGGCACACAAAGTCGCCATTGTTGGATTCTTTAAGGTACAATCGCAATCTTCTATTTTGTGACCCTTTTCTCACGCCAATAATTTTCTATTTTTTATCTACTAATACTGAATCACTTTATATCTTTCGTTTTTATAAATTATTATAATAATGAAGAGTAATCTGTTGCAACAGCTTACCTGTTTATATACATATATAACGACTTTATTAGGACGTTACAAGTGATGCCGCCAAGGTATTCTTGGAAGTTGGTAGCACAGTAGATGATCATGTGTTTGGTATTACAAGCGCCGACGAAGTGTTCAGCGAATACGGAATTGAAGATGAAAAGATCGTGCTATTTAAGAAGGTACGTCTATACCAGTGCACTGTATAATATCAATATTAAAACAATCACGAATCAAATAAATTTCTATTTTTTGAAATCGTAATCTCAAATCTGATTAATCTGTATTCTTTGTAGTTCGATGAAGGTAAAGCCGTCTTTGATGGAGAGTATACGACTACAGCTATACAGAACTTTATCTCCGTATTTTCGTTACCTCTGGTTGTCGAATTCAACCAGGATACGGCGCAGAAAATCTTCAGTGGAGATATCAAGAGCCACTTGTTGCTTTTCCTCAGTAAAGAAGCCGGTCACTTTGACAAATATATCGAAGGAATTCAAGAACCAGCGAAGAAGTACCGTAGCGAGGTATGAAAGTTTATGCATCACTCATCTCGCTATATCATTTTAAAAAGGAATCGATATAATACTTCAAAATATCTATGCATAGGTTTTGTTTGTGACAATCAATTGTGATGAAACCGATCACGAACGAATTTTGGAGTTCTTCGGTTTGAAAAAAGCTGATGTGCCCGCTATGCGGCTTATCAAGCTTGAACAGGACATGGCTAAGTACAAGCCTGAGAAACCAGAGATAACCACCGAGAATATCCTGGAATTTGTCACTGCTTTCGTAGAGGGCAAACTGAAACGACACCTGCTTACCCAAGACTTGCCAGAGGACTGGAACAAGAATCCGGTTAAGGTTCTCGTCGGCACGAACTTCCACGAGATTGCTTTTGACAAGGAAAGGGATGTTTTTGTTGAATTCTACGCTCCTTGGTGCGGCCATTGTCAGCAGTTAGCGCCCATTTATGACCAAGTATGTTGGAATTTTAATTGTAATAGATACAGATAATACAGGTAATTGATAGGTAATTTTGTTTATCATCGAACATGTTAATTTTAGCTTGGCGAAAAATACAAGGACAATGATAAATTGGTCATCGCAAAAATGGATGCCACTGCTAATGAATTGGAGGATATAAAGGTTCTGAACTTCCCTACGCTGACACTCTATAAGAAGGAGACGAATGAGGTACGAACCTTTCTTACATCCATCCCTCAACCTTATATTTACAGTACGTTGGAAATGTATTTATTTTGATAACTTATTTTGTTGCTGTAGGCTGTGGAATATAACGGAGAGAGGACGCTTGAAGGTCTTTCCAAATTTATCGAAAGCGGTGGCGCGTATGGCGAAGCTGCAGAAGAGGTATGTCAAGGAATTATTTTTAATTAAAAAGGAATAGTACAAAAATTTTTTCCTAAAAGATAATAAATTATGCCGAGAATATCTTTTAGAATTTTATGAAGTATAATCTTATATT